ACCTGCAAACCTACATAATTTCAATAAAATACATATTCTGTACAGTACAGTATATTATAGGAAAAATCCTATAATTTAGGGGAAAATCCACAATAAATAATTTAGAGTAACTTTTTTTGAAAACCTGTGAAAAAGTGAGGACATGAAAGTTGAACAGCGAAATAGTGAGGGGCTCCTATGTTACAACACAACAAAATACAGCAGAGAAACTTAAAGAGTACTTGGTTATTCTACCTAATACTGTATTTTCCCTTTATCTTATTTATCAATCAAGTGTAGGGCCGGCCAAATAGCTCAGCAAATTAAAGCGCCTGCAAACAGGCGCAGGGGTCAGGGCTTCAATCCCCAGACCTGTTGTGCTGGCCCCACTCCTGGACTGCCCTGAGAGGACAATTGAGAATGGGCGTGGTGGTGTGCACCTGTAATCCCAGCTCTTGGGAGGCTGCAAACAGGAGGATCACTGTGAGTCCAATCTATGCAGTGAGACCCTGTTCACCTTATACACCCTGTCCTAAATACAATATGTATATATACATATAGTGTAGATGCCTGTCATTACACCTATGATGTCCCTTCCCAAAACAGTTGTTTTTACAATTCCTCATCTTACTTGGTATCTTTTAAAAGACTTCATAATTTCTTTCCTAGCCTTTCTGAACTTGTATTGCCAGCCTCTCTTCCTTAAGACAGCTCTTTCACTTACTGCTTATTCCAATTTTCCGTGGGCCTTTTCTGACCAGACATTTATAACCTTCTTTACTAGTTCTCTTTGACATAATCTTTAAAAATTTCAGTAGTCCTTGTGAAGTCTTTGGTTTTTACTTTCAAATACTTCTTTCCTCTAAGGAACTGTTCCACTCCCACCGTCTGGAATATTATATACTTAGTGAGTTCCAAGCTTATGCCTTCAGTGTAACTTTTCTCTTAATCATCCATCCACCAATTTTCTATTACAACCATTCATCTGAGTAGGTCACTGCCACCTCAGGTTCAACGCATTTGAAATAAACTGACAGTCTTCCCAACCCCAAGAAATCTGCTTTCTCCTTTCTTTTCTTCTTCTTCTTCTTCTTCTTCTTCTTCTTCTTCTTCTTCTTCTTCTTCTTCTTCTTCTTCTTCTTCTTCTTCTTC